ATCGCCAAAACTCCCCGTCGTCGCCGGCGTTCCACTGGATTATTTCCGAAACCAACTCTTGAGGAAGAACCATTATCGCGAGAAAACGTCCAAGACTAGATAGTTCTGTCATGGGTCATATTTAGGAGAGAAACGCAGCCTGTTACGCACAATTCCGCAATATCCTTCCACAACTCCTTCCGTCCTTTCTAAGCTCTTTATTCCACTGGACTGTCGATGCCAAACGATCGACGTCGGCAAAATTCCGCCTTTTATGTGGTGATGGTCTGTGGTGGTAAGAAAACAAAGGATTCTGAAGGAAGATTGCCGGATGGGGCCGGCACAAGTTTCTCCAGAGTCCAGCTAACAGGTCAAGACCCTCTTTGTTTTGAACTACGACAGCCATGAATAGGTTCACCTCTCTTCCAGCGGAGATTGTCAACGAAATTGCGTTCCTCGCCGACAAATCTACGCTCCTGGCCCTCTGTCGCGTCTGCAAAGCAACAAATTCGCCGGCAACGCGGACTTTGTATCGTTATTTGTTGTTGGAAAGCCCACGACAAGTGGTACAATGTCTCAAGGCTCTGCTAAAGAATGACTATGCTGCAAAGTCCTGTCGTGCTTTTGGTATCGAATGCCAGTACGTCTCATCATTTATAGCAGATATGATGCCTGACCGTGTTCTCGACCAGGATCGACGTGACGCAGGCACTGCACCTCAACAACTTCTTTCGTCTCATAGCCAAAGCCCTTGTCCGAATACGCATGGTTGAGGCCATATCGTTAACAATATCACATTGGTTCCCAGGAGCTATCCGACTCGTACAGGCTATTGATTTCATTCTTAAAGATTGCACATTCCCGCACCTCGAACATGCACATCTGCAGATGGCAGTTACACCTACAGTTGCGAGCTTTTTGGAACGACATCAAAAAACCTTGAAATCAGTAGTACTGTGCCCTCGCGGTGTCGGTCCTTCATCGTTAGAAGAATCCTCTGTACAATACCACTTTCCCCGTCTCGCCAATGTTCGCGCAACCGCTTCGGTCGCGCTGCCATTCTTCAAAGCTATCTCAGGAACCTTACCCGCGCTTACGAGCCTAGATATCAACTGGGATCCCTTCGACATGGTTGACCACAAACAGTTGATCGATGCAGTACGAAAAAAAGATGCGCCTCTGGACATGGTCACTTTCCTTCGAACCGGCTGGAATAAGGAGCTGATTGAGGAGATGTCGCTCTGCTTCCCACATATCAGGGATCTCAGTATCTGTTCGTACCTGGCAATTGGCCTCAATACAACCGTACCTCCAGTATGTGTTAACCAAAGGACTACATAATGATACTGATCAATTCCTTTATCGTAGGACCTTATAGATGATATAGCTAAGAACCTTAAGAGGTTCAAGTCTCCTGGCTTATTTCTGGTGGACCATCAGGCTTTGGGGAACGCTACCTCAGCCAACTCGCCCCGGGCTAGCCATCGAACATGAGTATCAGACACTCACATTGTTTGGTGATGCATGTCCTTCGCTTCGTTTTTGCAAGATACCCTGTAAGCTAGCCGGGTTGTCCTTGAGTTTTCGCTCTTCACTAAACAAATTTGAAGATGGACATTCATGGATGAGATGTGAACGCACACCGAAGGTGTGGTTCCCGGTCCATCCGTCAACCGATTCTGGAGCGTCGTATAGAACGTTATTCCATTTCCTGAACACGAGGACGTACCCTGCAATTTCGGTATTACTGGAGTACATGGAAGCTAACACCAACAAATATCCGAACATCTCGCCTGTTATAGAAAAGTGGAAGGAGACAGCAAGTCTACCGCTCGAGAGTAACGAGAGACGAGACGCTACTGTGAAAATGATGGCAATTGGGCATAGGCTAGGTATTTGGCGCTATTTCGAACTGGATGATTATCCTATGGCGGACTTAAAGTGCTGTTGCCTAGAGCCTGGCCGGGATTGAACTATGATTGTACTTATATAATGTGTACCAATGACGTGAAGGAATGTCAGTCTTGAAGCTTGAACCCAGAACTCGTACATCGTTGGATGCCTGATCAGTGTTGCAATCGCAAGTGGAAACGCAGCAGTAGCTTTCGACCTGAAAGAATGACAGCGACGGGGGTGATGAACGTTCCAAGCAAGAGTCAGAGGCTTCGTTAGTGTCGTCGACGAACCACAGAAGATTGCTATTCTAGCAGTCCATGCGCCCAGGGTCGATCGCGAGACATAGTTCTTACAGGTTACTACCGCTTTGTCTGCTCGCTAACAAGCTCGCTGGAAGATGAATGTCATTTACTATTCACTAAACACTGCATTACAACAAGCTAAAGGAATGTACAACAACCCCCCATCTTAACCAACAAAACATATGGATAAGCATAACCTGGGCCCCACGTTATAGTAGTTAAGCAGGGTTTCGAATTGTTCAAAAGCGTCAATCTTTGCCCCCTTTCCCCCGGAACATCCACGAAAGAACGAATGGTCCGGTGAATAAAGGGCATGTACTCATTCAATAAGCATCACAGAGCCGATACAAGTCTGGTAAAGAAGACAAGTATCAGTAAACATCGACGATGAGATGACGATGGCGACTCACTGAAAAATGACGTGGATGCGACCGCCTACAACGTTAGTAAGAAACAGAGTCAAGCCTCACACGTTCAAATGATCATAATACATGTGCATTGAGATCATATCGCGTAGGTAGCAGTAGTGGTAACATACAACCAATCATCGAACGGAAAAGATCTAAGCACGAAGCTGGTTCCTAAGGTTCTCCTCGAGAGGACCCTTGGGACGAATGTACTGGACGTAAGCACCGTCCCTACAAAGCACACATTAGCATCGATCACCCAAGCACGTCAGATAGAAAAACATACTGTAACACTCTCTTCTCAGCCTTCAGCCTCAAGTACTCCTGCTTGTCGACATTCGTGAAACCCCACTTCTTGGAAACGATGATCTTCTGACGACCGGGGAACTTGTAGCGAGCACGGCGGAGAGCTTCGATGATGACAGGTGCGTTTGACTCCTTTGAACGGATGGAGAGGATGATCTGGCCAATGTTGACACGGGCAACGGTGCCATAGGGTTTACCCCAGGCGCCACGCATACCAGTTTGCAGACTGGGTAAGGGAAGGGAGTCAGGAAGCTGTGAGATTGGTAAAAAGCGAAGAAACCCACCGATCGGCACCAGCGCAACTCAACATCTTGTTGATACGGATGACATGGAAGGGGTGAACCCTAACACGCAAGTGGAAGGAATCCTTTCCAGAGGTCTTGGTGACGTATTTGTTGGCACAGATACGGGCAGCTTCGAGGGCTTCTGAGGAGAGTTGTTCATATTCGTCGGAGACAAGGTGGCAGCAGAAGGGGAAGTCGTCGACGGAGGCACGTTTGCGTCCCAAGTCAAAGATACGGATCTAGAGCAGAGATGTAAGAATAAAAATGTCAATTTTTTTGGGTGGACTTGGAGCATGCCTTTGGGTCGGGAACACCACGGTTATACCTCGACTTGGGGTAAGGCTTGTTCTTGCAGTAACGGTAGCAGCGAGCTGGACGACGACCCATTGTTGTTGATTTTCTGTTCAAGAAAAGGTCAGCCAAACGTCATCCAATCGCTCCAAGCCCAATCCAGCTCAATCTCCTCCAAATTTCCGTCCAAATCGATTCGAAACGACGAGAAAACGGGATGAAAGAGTGGGATAGAGTGAAATGGCATACTCACAGTGTGTCTTGGGGGGGCTTGGTGGAGATTTGAGGTCGCCCTGCTTTTAAACCACCGCCTTTTTGGTGAGATGAGTAAGGCTGCCAACAGACAAGCTGAGTAAAGGTTTGTGGACAGGGGTGGATCACTACTCAGCGCTTTAGCGATGCCGAGTTTATCGTCGGGGGTTGTTGGGGCTTGTTATGACTTTGTCTGTCTCGTTCATGTGTTGCACGAGAATCCAATGGCTTAGTACTCCACTGGGTTCTTCGACTGTTACTCACAAGGTTTTGGTTTATCGTTCATCTAATGAATATAGTAATCTCCACTAGGTCGGACGCATTATTCAGCCCAAAAATTATAAGCATCTCGGCGAGGTTTACCCTTGACTCTGCGGAGTCCCATGCTAATTTTGACTCGAAGGTTCAAGTACTGGCTGTGAAGCTTATACGTGGGCTCTTCATTCATCTAGACCTAGGTGCTATTTTGAGGCTCGTATGTAGCTTGGAGGGTAAGATAAGTATCGTCAAACTCATCCATACGCCTGCTATCACCTCCGAAGATCGCCGTTCCAAAACTCGATCTCCTGGAAAATGGGCTGTACAACGAGTATTCCTCGGTCTCGTACGATACACGAGTTGCCGAGCCAACTTTCTCGCGGCAGAAATTCAAGCAAGAAGCTGTATTAGACTCTGCGCAAAATAGATTATTTTTTCTCCCAAGAATGGCTGATTTATTGGGTCAAAGGTTAAGTACTTTCGGTGTGAAAATTAATGACTTTTCTTCTGCGCAAAAGAACTGATTTCTACCGGCCATTTCAAAATTCCCGACGGTGGGCGATGGTTGGAAAGCACTGAAAAGCCCTGAAAGAAGGACAATCCGATCGTCGGGAATTAAAAAATGGCTGGCAGAAATGACTCCTTTTTCACAGGAGAAAGGAATGTTTTTTCTCGGGACAAAGAAATACAATTTTCCGGTGGAAATATCCTTATTTGCAGCAAAACCATCAAATATGTTGGCTTACTTTAACTCAGGTTTCCTTTTGAAATTCTCTGGTAAAATACTAGTGCCGCAAGACGTGTGTTTTTGGTGTCTACTCGCATTGTCTAGACATCTAGTTTTTCCGTTAAACCAATGATGATAGTGGATGACTTCCCGTAAGAAATTATGTGCCAACCGTCAATTTCTATGTACGAGGATCCTTTAAAAACTCAAAAAATCAGAAAGTTGTAGTAAGAATTTATGGGATAAGCAATTGAACGGTTACCTCCTCCATAAGTGTGAAGGCCACAGGTGTAGCATGGCATTAATGGGGTAGTGGTAACCTGGGTCGTTGCCATTCCGAGTGAATTTCGACCCGCCGGGGGTTCGATTCCCTCTTAATGCAATGATTGTTTTAAAGCAGAAGCTTTTTTCGCCCCTTCACAATTGCAAAGCTCGGAGCTCGCATCGTTCTTCTCACTCCCGACGACGACGTCTTCCGATACAATCCCCGTACCCCAAACGCTGTGCTCCCCAATCAGTGACCAGCACTTGGTTCTAACATCCCAGCTACAGTTGCTTACATCCTGTGAAGACCAACCAGAAGAATGTGATGCTTGTTTCCTGAAAGTAGTAACATCCGTCGCTGTAGGTGCATATTCCTATTTTCTATACGATAATAACTCTCAATCTCCGGGGAAAATGGACCACAGATGTTAATGATACCCATCAAGCTTCTCTGTATAGCGCTCAACGCCAGAAGCGAGACCAATATCCTGTGCCCTTCAAACAGCATCATGACCAGATCATCACCTTTCATTCCATGCTGACACCTTTCCCGGACCATTCTTAACGTCCTTTGGAGGACCCCCCATGAACGACGCAGAGCTCTTAGAATGGCAACGGTCCGCAGCGGAGGGTGGTATAGGCAAATGCACGGCGGTTCGAGACCGCTGCGCAAAGACAGAGCGAGATCTCATGTTCCTGAAGGATGATGAGATAGTCGTGTTGATGCAGGTGCCAGATCGTCAGGGTATTTTTCTGGTGTGTCCTCTGATAATTCGAGTGTTTGGGCACAATGCTGATTATTTTCAATTAGGGCTTTTGCGAAGGCGTTATAGGCACATTCCACTTTCGCGATGTCAGGTTTCATACGCTAAGACTCAAGGTCCCGGCATGGAGTAAATGGTTATCTGATGAAGACGAGTTTTCGGGGAGCAAACTATACGAGCAGCATAGCAGCGAACTTGAAAATGATTGTGCGTTTATTATGTTGCTCATCGCTTTGCTCCAGATGCTGAACCAAGAATTTCATGTCATACAGTACATCCGACATCGATGGTCCCGTTTTTGCTCCCCAACACCTCACAGGATGCCCGACCCATTGGCCTGTCGTTCATGAACCTCGAGTCAGCCGATAACGAAGATGAAGAAGGCGCGAGCACTGATGACGAAGACCAAGACTTGGAGTCCCTACTCAATGCGTACAGTGGAGATGTAAAGGACGAGATTCGCGTTGCATGGACACAAACAATATCACGCCCATTTACAACGAAGATTTTCGGAGCCAGTGCCCGCAAAAGTGCATTGTCTGTGGTATTGCTCCTGACGACGACTCGATTATATTGAGCGAAATTCCCGACTATGGTCATGGAACGTTGTTATGCTTTGAGCACTCCGACATTGGCCCACCATCTCCTCTAGTGAACCTGGTATCGCCTCGTACCATGGCCCACTTCATCTGCGATGCCTGGCAAAAGGGTAAAGATGGTATCGCGGAGTCGTTCATCGAAGAATTGGACGGTAACGAAGAGTTTCTACTTCGTTTACGAGGGAATGACGCGCAGAAGGTCGTTAACTTGATTCAAGAGGTACCATTCCCTTTTCAGCGTTCCTATTCAGCTCATCATGCGCGACACAGGTCATCGATAGCAGTAAACCCGAACAAGGCGTTTTGAAGCACAAATTCCAACGTCTCCTGGTCAAAATCTGTCAAACGCGCGATGTCATACCTTCTTCTCTCTTTATAAAAGGTGTGGAACGCGAAGGATCCGATGCTATTTGTGGCGGATCATTTGGAGATGTCTACCGCGGAACGTATAGAGCCAATGAGGTTGCGTTGAAGCGAATACGTATCTTCCCAAACACGGCATCAGAGGAAAGGCAAAGAACATTACAGGTACGTTTTTATCTGACACTTTGCGTACCTTCAATTTACCTACAATCACAGAAACTTGGTCGCGAAGCGATGTTGTGGCGAGCGCTAAAACATCCGTTTGTCTTGTCGTTTTACGGTATCGACGCGGATACATTTCCCACTTTCTTCTGTTTGGTATCACCATGGATGGAAAACGGAACGATCTTGCAGCATTTGGAGGAGACGGGGCGACAAGATGTCGATCTTGGGGTATGTGCCGTTTCTATGTCGTCTTTTGTCATATACTCAGACTCTAATACAGCTATTCGAAGTAGCACAAGGGCTCGCGTACCTTCATTCTCAGGAAATTGTACATGGTGACATACGCGGGGTAGGCAAGCCTCCCCTTACTTCTTGGCCATACTCACGAATCTTTCTTCCAGTCCAACATCCTCGTAGACCCAGCTGGACATGCATGTATCGCCGACTTTGGTCTTGCAGTCTTTTCCGACGTTACTGTCGGAACCAATTCATCTCATCATGCCGGTTCAGTACGCTGGATGGCTCCTGAGCTTCATTTCCCGATGGATTTTGGCCTCGAATACTTTCGGAGGACGTTTGCGACGGATGTGTATTCGTTTGCGTGTCTTTGCGTAGAGGTGCGTTGTCACGGTTTTGATCTCGCTTGGTATTCGTTGGGCGCTCATACCTCTGTAACTGTAGCTTTATACGGGAAAACCACCGTTTGAGGACGTACCTCGAGATACTGCTGCATTGATAAAGGCCGTGAATGGAGAGAGACCGGCCAGGCCCGCTGAGATAGTGGATTGGTTCTGGGAACTGGTAGAACGATGCTGGTGCCATGATTGGACAAAGAGGCCGGGTATGTCTGCCGTAGTAGAGGCGATGCATTGGTCTCAGTGGGGTGATGGGACTTGTTGTAGAAATATCGTGTTCTATGTGGTGAATTCAACATACTGATCGGTTATTGTAGAAACCTCGGCGCCGAAAACTGGGCATCTGGCATGGACTATCTTTTATTGCATCATCGCTATTATCTTGTATCAACACTCAAGCTCTCCTGTCACAACTTATGCATCTACGCGTGTGATTCCAATACAAATAAGTACCTCTGGACCAATACAGATGCCTTTCGCATTTTCTCCTTGATGCGTTTTACGACCGGCTGTGTCAAGGTCCGTGCCGTGACAACAACGGATTCCATTCGAGCCTTCAATAGGTGATTTCTTAAAGGGCGATGGAACCGGTACATTTTCAATCTACGGAGACAGGTTCCCGGTATGTATACCATTGTCGGTAGTCATCTTTTAGTTGACCAAACCTGGACCAGGAGAACTTCCAAGAAGAGCATACCGGCCCTAGACTTCTCTTAATGGCACACCATTAGACCATACCCCAGTAATCAACGGTCAACTCCATCTAACACGCAGATTTTTGGCCCAATATGAACGTGTCAGGTCAGGATTGACCTTGCTCACTGTATACTTCCTTTTCACTCAATGGACCCCTCAATTTTTCATAACAACAGCCAAATCTTATTAGACGGGAAACACGTCGTCTTTGGCAGCTTGCGAGGTCATCGATGGAATGCTTACGTTGCGAAGGATCGAGAATGTTCTGATGGTCAGAACAACAGACCAAAACTCGCAGCGAAGATCATTGTCGGTGAGTCCTACTATAGTTCGTTTTTTGTATGGATGTATCGTATCTGACGGCAGGACGCTGCGACTTTTCAGAATGCGGTGAAATGTAAAACATAATGTAACAAATCGACTACGGATCTCGACGCGCCCATCCAAATCGCACCGGTCAGTATGTGATGCACAGCTGTATCTGTGTAATCGACAAACACACGACACTCTTACTCCTTGAAGCCAAGTCAACATGGCACGCCACAAGGCCCTATATAAGCAACCGCCTTTGCAATTCCTCCATCAACTCGCATATGGCTGAATACTCTCATCTATCCAATCCAGATCCTGAGTTTGCATCCTTTGCGGCACATGTCCCAGCATTGGATACACAAGCACCCATCGCTACCATAAGGGAACGACACAACGAGACCGTCAAAGCCACCAAACATTCGATTGCATCGCAACTTCCCAAAGGTACGCCCGACTTTATGTCAAGTTCATCGGACTGACGATTTTGCCGGAAAGATACCGAGTATAAAGCATTTGACTATCAGATTGAGGTTGAGGAAGGAGTGAAGGTTTTGGCCAAATGCGTCGTACCAACTGCAAGGGAAGGAGAGGATACATTCCCGCTCTTGTTCTGGCTCCATGGTGGAGGTAAATCTTGTTCTTCCCTGCGATGATGCCTATCTTTAGCTCCCCCAGGTTTCATTCTTGGAAGTGCCGACATGGATGATTATGTAATGAGGATCCTCAGCGTAGAACATCGAGTCTCTGTCGTTAACTTGGACTATCGGTCAGCAACCCACTATCACCATTTGACAGTTCTGATGGATTATCAACCCTATTAGGCTGGCCCCAGAGCACCCATTCCCAACAGGGGTCAATGACTCTTTTACTGCGCTCAAATATGTTTGTTGCTGATTCAGGGTGTTACTCATTCCTATGCTGATTGCATGAAAAGGTTGCATCGCATCCTGAGGAATTTTCCGCCTCTCTGGACAAGGGTTTTATTGTGGGCGGAGCATCCGCCGGCGGTAATCTAGCGGCAGTCCTCGCTCATCTGGCTCGGGACGACCCATTCTTCAAGGATAAGCCCTTGACTGGCCAAGGACTCGTTGTCCCGGCGGTCATACACAAGGATGCTTACCCCCAAAAGTACGACGAGTATTCGACCCCGATACCTTGTATTCATGTGCTTCTCAGGTACAAATCATCTCTCCTGTCGCTAGAGCAAAACAAAAATGCACCAATGTTGTCTTTGGAATCTTTAAATTTCATGACTAGTACGTCTGGCATCATCAAAGCGTCGTGTTGTGGCCACTGATACACTATTATATCCAGAGCTATATCAAGCACCCCCGACCGACACTAGGGTGTCGCCACTGTTGTTGTCTTCACACTGTGGTCTTCCACCAGCGTTTATTCAAGTGGCTGGGCTTGATCCATTGCGAGATGAAGGGCTGCTATATGAGAAGCTACTGAAGGAGGCCGGTGTACCCACGAGGCTTGAAGTGTAAGCTCGCAGTTGCGCTATTGTTTTATGTATAATGTTACTTACTCAAATACATACTCAGATATCCTGGAGTGCCGCACGGTTTCAGTGATTTTCCA